AATTACAACCCTCCTCCTTTATTCGAGTTTGGGACTAACTACAACCATCGTAGGCAAAAAAATGGAGACTGGAATACTGAATATTGAGTAAAGAAATTGACGATCGATCGAAGTAAATTGATATGAAATTGTAAAAAAATTTCGTGTATTTATAGCAAAAAAAAAATGCCTATGTTTCAACTACATTTGAATTTCAAATTTAAATTTTTAAAAATTGGGAAATTTACATTATCTGCCTAGTCAAAGGCAAACTGACAGGCAACCGTGTTTAATTTTTTTTTTAATGAAGCTCGACTCAGTTCGTCCGGGCCGAAAATGGCCCGTGATAAGGCCTGCCCGTGTGGGGTTGGCTTGGACTCAAGCTGATGCCCCAAAATAGGGCTCAACTCAAGCTGATGTCCCAAAATAGGGCTCGACTCGAGCCACAAACAGCCCGAGCTGACGAGCTACTTTGACATTCCTACTTGGATCTTTTTTTTTTTTTTTTTCTTTGTCTCCTTGTGTGGCGCATACACGGGAAGGGTTGTTATGCAGATGTCTACTGAGGGCAACTGGCCTAGCTGGTTTGCTCGACCTCCAGTTCTTCAGAAATTGCACAACTACATATTAGCATTTTAGTTTCCTCAAATCTCGGTCCCCGATCTTTCAGTTTATTCCATTTGATCCTCTAACTTCTGGTTTCTTCCATTTTGGTAACTTATAAATTCTTCAATTTTGGACATTTAGCTTTCCGGTGACCCGGTCTTCATTTTTGTCCCCAAACTTTATGAAATCTTCCAATTGAGTCCTATAATTTCCCAGCCTTTATCTAACACCGTTTTTGTATCCAATCAACTCTCCAAATCATTTCATTTTGATTTATTTATTCACCTCCAAAATAGGATTTATCCTAAAAAAAATCAAACACACCATTAGGTGAATAAAAACTAAAACAGGTCCATACAACTTTTTAAAAAATATATTCAAAACACGTTTTATTTATTGTAGTTTTAGACTCCCTCCATTTGTTGATCATCTAGCCCACTTCCTCCTGTCAATAAACATTAAGTAGTGAACAATGCCATGTTTGTACATCTATTGACCAAATGCAGTGCTTCCCTGTCTGCATTTAATGTAAGGCAAGAAAATTAAAGCCTCTCCACCTAAACAAAGAAAATAAATTAGTTAATTAAGTAAAAAGTGGTACGAAAACGACGAGTTTTATTGTCTTTCTTTTTCAGTTCATCACTTGTCACATATCATACGTCAACCGATGCTAAAGATTAAGAACTTACAACTACAAAGTTTCATTTATTGTGTGCAGAGATAAATAAAATGGTATATTTCTCACGTTATATCAAAGAATACGAAACTGAAGAGAATTGAGATATAGAGATAGAGGATTTTGTTCGATTTTATTGAGTCAAATGTTCTAAACGTATTATAAAATAACTTGCCAAATAGTGGTGACAATTCCCGTCCTTGCTTCCTCCTTCCTCGATCCCCGATCAAGGCTAGGCTAGGCGGGGCGGGGCAGGGCAATCTCTTGTTTATTGTCCCCTTTTTATTTTTAATTATTACAGCAAAAGCCCAAAACCTTTGAAACATTATTAGACTTTTCTCAAACATTTGATTTGTTGCAACCGTCACCCCTAACTTTTTCAAATGTTGCAGGTGAAATCCCTTTGAACAGTTTCCATATGTCAGTTGATCAAAAATTTAA